GTACATTTTCAGAATGTTGAAGTGAGGATGGATCGTTAACATCTTTCAAGAGCGGGCCAGTAAGGTACATGTAGGAAGCCACAAATCGCATATGAGCTAAATTCACACTTTAAACGTACAACGCAAACGTTATAACAACGAATTATTCTGTAGAGAAGTAGACTCCAAGTTGGCCGCTGCAGAATTCTCATTATTAATACCTCTGGCTTTACATAATTCACTTTACATTTAGTATAACTTTGGCGAAGTCCATTTCTACTGGATCTCCAGACGATGCATCGTAAAGGGCCTACCACGGTTTACTGTTCGCTCTACCTTGATTGCCATAGAGCGTACTATCGCTGAAATCAGGCAAACTTGAGGAGCAATGACGCAATGTAAATTTGTTTGATTTTGTATTTAAGAAGTGGAAGACTCGAACTCCAGCTCGGAGAGAAATTTTCTTATTAACAATTGTCAATTGCCTTAAGCAAAGCGTTCAACCTACTGTTCTTGAAACAGTTACTAGAAAAATGGGTTGCAAATCGCTAACTTGCGAGCAACGTGGACAGCACAGTGTTCTGGCATAGTCCCGTCAGAACTTCCAACACCTACGGATATAATGTCAGATGTATGCACTTTACTCCTACAATCTGTCTTGACTACTAACCCGATGGCTGAAAAAATTCATCACAAAGTACAAACCGTAAAACACTGCGGAGCCGCTTCTTAGCATGACGCTGCTTCCTAACTGCAGACTTACCGTTAAAAACGAATGAGTAGTTTTCAGCTACAGTGTCGACTGTTGGTAAAGATTTCGGTTTAGTTTGGGACGATATTTTTCTGTATCAAATAGCCCACTACTATACAGAATGACAAAAAGATGTTTCCCATTTGACTCTCTAGTTGCTTCTGCCCTCAGGTCTTTGCACTGTACTCCGTTGTTTACATCAACAAGGTGATGATCAGTTAATAGCTCTGCACTACGCATCAACGTTAATGTTCATTGTAGAACGCAGTGGGACGATACGATTATCAAATCGAATTAAATCGAAGTTATCCACTGCTTTCAAAGAGCGTTTTCTATCGAGAGTCAGTATGATAAATTAGTCACAAAGGAAACAGAGATAGGATTCTGAAAATTCCATAAATTCAAACCGGAGAATGTTAATGTTAACGTGGACTCGCACTGATTTAATGAGCTCGCGTAACTGTCACAGTGAAGTCGTCGGACCGAACTCTGAAATTGAAACTTATGTCGAAAGTAACATAACAAGTAACAGAGCGTATTCGAGCAGTGTATATCGTAATGAGTGAAATCAAGTAATTGATACAGATGACCACAAGCAATTATATAAACATCAACTCCCAGTTAAGTTATATTAATTCAGTGCATTACTTCAATGACAACGGGTTGACTTTGCGACATCGCGCAGCCACCGCGATGAAATCATAACATGAAAAATTTAATGTAAATCATCTATAAATGAAATGCAAATTAAATTAAATGAACTGTGAATTAAATGAAATTCATCTATATTCACCAGTTTGACAACGGCATTGCAATGTATTCAGAGGGAGCTTTCCATTTATACAGATGACCATCTACCCATAATCTAAACGTAAACTCGCGACTACAGGACTGTGCGTTGACTTACTGGTAATCAGAAATTTACAATTATGACATCGTACTTCACTCACAGAAAGCTTCCTATCGATACATAACATGATCGGCTAAATCCGTTAGTTGATGCAGTTGATCATAGTCCTGCTACACATATTCAAAATGGCGACCGCCGAACCGAGCACAATAACTAGCAGTTTACGCCCAAACAGCGTATGCCAAAACATTATAGACAAAGAGACCGACACATGCACACGCAAGAGGTGCGAGTCAGTGTTCCGATGTCCACCTCCAAACGTCCATCGCTAAACGACCCATTCGCAAGCATAACAGAAACTGACTGACTGTAAATAATGGAATAAAGCATCTTGGAAAAGTTCAGCAAGTTCCTTAACGAGGTCCCGAGTGTCACTGTTTCAATACAACACCATTTTCACATAATTCCGTATCCTGCTAGAAGCAACCTTAAACTTTAACCTAAAGACAACCATAGCAAAATGAACAACAATAAAATTGCAGAATTAATTAGTCTGCAATGAAGTAACAGATGTTATTTATGAAAATTAGCAGACTGCAACTTACAAGTTGTGATTGCTTGATTGGAAGACATGCAAGCCATGGTGACGGTGTGAGCTGGTACTTTTGCTGGTAACCCTGCTGCCAATGACGCCTAAAAATATTGAAACCAAAAACTATGAATTCATGCAAAAACAATTCAGCTGGCAATTGAATGAATAAACATTCATTTGCATGTTTCTTTATGAAATTATCTTCAGGCTATATGTCATTCAGGCTATATGTTTGCTTCCCTTCCCAATTCGTAACTTACGTGCAAATATGCATATTTTGAATTAGCAAAGCAAGAAAATTTTTTTAATCTTAAATCGAATCTTTAATCTTACATATGAGAGCAACAAGGAAATATTTTTCGACGAATCGAGAAACGCTCGATCAAATCTTGGCCGCATTTAAAATTTCCAAAGAATTACTGCTTCTACTTCTTAGGAAAAATATCTCTAACCCACTGCTTCAAGGTCATTCGCAAATATGCAAATCGCATATACAGAATATTCAAAGCGGCGAATCAACACAGCAATTATAGCTTCTTCTATACGGCAGAGGCTGGTATGCCTGTTGCAACAGCGTGCTCATTCACCTAATTTCAATGATGGCTAAAAGTATACGAATCTTCTGCACTGCTTTAGTTTTGTGACCTTAACATTTGAACAAAAGATTGCCGTACAATTTAGGCCACGACTCGCACCAGTTAGGATTATAACAATCAGTCAACTGTCACTTTGAATAGACTAGATCTTCCCTTGCGTTATGGATCACAGATAACGACTCGAATATAAAATAAAACCATACAACCTAATACAGTAAAGCGAATTTGTTTTCATAATTAAGACAGCATGAATATTCATCATGCTGACAAAACCCCTGTGAAAACTGATATTATTGCATCTTTTTTCAGCATAATGTTTAATCTCTCGTAATTTTGGTTACGGTCCAGAGAAATGCGTTTAAACAACGTATTTCAAAGCGTTGTTCCAAAAAAAGAACCTTGGCAGCAACCCAGTCTGCTCAAACAAATGCTGCTGACGCAGAGGCATGGTTATTTACTCCATCACGTTTGAAACGCGAACACTGCGATTTCACATAATCTATACTATCAACCTATATCAGTGATGACTGTACCAGCCAGTCATTTATCCACTGTATTCATTCAACGTTCACAAATTAGCTTTCCATCTTCTAAATGTACGAACGCTGCCGCATCACATTAGGTTTAACTGTATCATACGCGTATT